CGAAGAGCATCGCTTAGGTAAACTAAAAAAGCACCGAAATGCTTGAACTCACACAGAACCATTTATTTAATTCACTAAATCTCTGCTTATTACAGTTTGAGCTTGTGAAAACATAATTTTTATTGCTTTTCCATCTTTTTCACTTTTTTTGAAGCAAACTTTTTATAAATTTTGCGTGTGAATGTGTTGTCCTTTCATGTCTTGGTTATCACAGCAGTGTTTTAAGGGGCCTGACTTCAAAAGAACAAATTAGTGCAACATCATAAAAGCAATATTCCCCTGTTTTTCCTTCGATGAAATCGGCACTGTTCTTCGATTTCTTGTAAGAGCTAAATTTAAAAAGAGCTAAGGACGCATTAGATACAAAACATCAGCATTAGAGTATGCGTAAAGTGAGCACTGCAGAAACATCACTTAATCTTTTCACAATACGGTCATTCGCGATTTTTTCTTCATCACAAAATATCGAGGAAAGCTGAATACACACAATTTCTGTGTAGGGCTAGGTTTTCGAGTCGCTACACAAAAAATCTAGTGATTTGAATTTTGTTCCTCTTCAGTTCCGTGTGTTTCTTTTTACTTTCGTTTGCGTTTTCCGGGTCATTTTGTGAAATTGTGTTTCCCTTCTCTGTCACTTGTAACTTTGTTATTCCTCTTGAAATTTAATGAGACTGCAACAGTTTACAGAACATTCATCAGCTTCACCGAGTGATGCGCAGACGCCTTTCCTTTCCTCTGGAGTCACTGGTATCGGAGATGCTCGTAATATTTTTTATGAACAGCAACTGGCGCGAAAGGAAAAAGACATCACGGAGCTGAGGTTTTTGGCTTGGTTTTTTTGTGCTGTGGTTTTTAGTATGACTTGTAATAAGTCAGAAATTAATCTTCCATTATTAAATTTTTAGTACGATGATTTTGTCTGATGGTATCACTTTGTAAATGATGAACTGAACAAAAATTTTTTCCTTTTTTTGCAGAAATGCTGTGCACGTGGCGGAATTGAACGTTCGTGACATTCAACAGGCATCACTCACTAAAGATCTTCAACATTTTGAAATGGTGGAAAAGTTGAAAGATGAAATTAGAATTTTAGAAGGTTGGCTTTTCGATTAGCACAACCATGAACGGTGTTACTTATTTTCTGTTAGGTGTTTTTTATTTTCTGTTAAGTACTTCGGAACAACTGTTTCCTTAAAAAATTCCAGAGTCTACTTATATATTTTCCTCCTAATTTTTCGCATGTGTCTCTGCTCGAGTACTTCACCCTCCAGAACATTTTACTAAGAGCTCAAAACAATTCAGTCTCAAAATTGACTTCTTTCATTACCTATGCCACTTTTTTAAAATA